TAGTAGTCATATGGTATGGAAGTGTTGTAAGACTACGGGGTAGCCGTAGCATTCACTAGTAGTCCGATAGTATGGAAAGTGTTGTAAGACTGCAGGGGTAGCCGCAGCATTCACTAGCGGTCAGATAATGATAGAGTGTTGTGAGACTGCAGGTGTAGCCGCAACGTTCACTAGGTTAGCAGATAAGTGTGAGCGCGTTGTTAGGACGCAGAAGGAATAGTAAGGATAAGGAAATCCACGGATTGGATTTCGGAATTACCCAAATGGATTAGATCTGTTTGAGCTCGTGATAGGACTGTGTGAGCACCACTACAATTGTGAGATCAGAGAAGCAACGGACTGCTTCAAGACATGCGAGATAAGGCTACCATTGATCAGGTAGCAATCACTTTCAGGCTTGAATTTGAAGATGACAGGATTCGACGTATGGACCCGATCGGTTATATTAGAAAGTAGTAGAGTCACAGTGTCATGATAACTAGTGGCAACTAGTTCCAGAGAAGGATTTCGTTCAGAAGTCGTGTGAGGTGACTAAGTAGTGAGTCCTTTGGCTTCGCAGCCGGGTGTAAACCCAGTATTTCAGAGGATTGGAAAGAAAATTGAGACCCAGGAGGTCTCGGTAGCCTTTGCTAAGCAGCTATGCAGCAGCATATACTACTTCAAGTAGTTCAGTGTTCGGGCAGTTTAGTGTTTGGGCAGTATTAGTATTTGTGTTTCAAGTTGCAAGTACTCACAAAATAGTTGGTTTATTGGGGAGTGAAAAGTCACTCACAACAAGAGTATCTGGGCCTTAGCCAGGTACAAGTGATCTGCAGAGATAATTAGGTTTCTGAACCTGTTTTATAGTGAGAACCTAAAGCTATCATAGGTTGAGTAGTTGGTCGAGGGATAAACGGACTAGACTCAACGATAATGATTCAGTATGAGTGGTCTGTTAGGGATTCAGATCATCTCGAGACAACAGACTTCAGATGGAGTAGACAAGATCTGGTTGCGAGGAATTCGTTCACCGATGGATTGTAGGGCTTTAAGAGGATTGGTCATGGCTACCATGGGAAGGCTAGGGTGTGCCCTGAATGGTGACCATGATACTAGAGTGGTTGGGTGTGTAACGAAGGATAAGGAATGATTTCAAGGACGAAATCTAATTTAAGTGGGGGATAGTTGTAACACCTGTTTATTTATTAAATAAATAAGTAAATAAATGAAGGACTCGTAGCTCTAAAATAAA